TGAAGGGGGAGGCAGGTATCCTGTGGCTCCTGACAGAGGGATGCTCGAGGATGTAGGAGATGTGCTCTTGAGCTTTGCTTCTGTGTGTACTTCTACTTGGTCTCCAAGAATTCCAAACGAAGTCAAGTTTAGCCCCTAGGAGAAGGGAAGTGACCCGACCTGGTATCAGGCTGCTCACTCTGCTGGGGGCTGTCAACCTGAATCTTGTAATGCAGGTGAACTTGTTTTAATGGATGTGGAGGGGCCGGACCATTAACTTGAATTAACTGTAAATTATGTCCCTAAGGAACTGAATGAATCAACCTGATTGATGTCATCTTAGTTTGGAGTCTCCTGAAAGCAGATTCTCTAGACAAACCCTTGAGTGCAGGTAGTTTATCTGGGAGGTGATCCCAGGAAACGCAAATGAGGGGATGGGGAGTGTGAGTTAAAGAGGGAAAGCAATAAGGTGTTTGGTTATGATTGGTTTGCCTTGCATCTAGAGAACAGCTACTTAATTTTTACCTCTTTGAGAAGTTTTCTCTGATTCTCCAGCCAATTGTGATTTTACCTTTTTTTGCTCCCACTGCATTTTGTGCTGGGCCTTGTAGATCACTAATCAGATCACGTGATTTCGTGGCATTTGTCATACATTTGTAATACGGTTTTTTTCTATGGGACTATAGAAAAGAAACACTATTTTAACATCTTTGGCCTAGCACATAATAAGTGTTCAAAAATATTTGTCAATTGTATTAATGTAGAACTCTCACAGCCAAGTGGAGCAATCATGTCTTTGAGAATCCATTGCACAATTCTCTTCCGTGTGGCTAGACCTGTCCCGAAGAAACAAATTCTTTGATAAAGGGTCAGCAGGAACGGCTCTCTTCTTTTGTGAGTAATACCACCAGAGGTGATTTTAGATTTTTGTTGCTATAGAAACCTCAGAAAGTACATTAACTTCAACGCAAAGGCATCTTATTCCTTAAAAATTTTATGTTTGACTGATTTAAATGTAGGTCTCAGCTGGGTGATTAAATGCACTTCCTATGGGGGAAGGAGCATAATGTAGTGGTTACACATGTAGGCTTTAGATCCAGGCTGCCCGAGTTCACCTGTTGGCCCCATCCCATAATATCTGTGTAACCTTGAACAAGTCAGATGAAGAAATTGAGACTTAGAGATTTTATGAATCTTTCCCAAGGATTCACAATTCCACCACTTATAACTTTTCATGATACTTAATATTAGCTTCAGAAACCTGCCAAGGGCATGCTCTTTGTAAGTGATGGAGTTGAAATTTGAACAAGAAAAAAGAAAATAATTTCTCTTTTCTATTCCTTTTTTTCTTTCCCTTCCATTATGCTTTTCTCCTTTTCTTTTCCTTTTTATTTCCTTTCCTTTTCCTATTCTTTCGTGGAAGGTAAAATTCACTTTAACTCTTGTTGGAAAGGAGTTTAATTACATTCCTGTATGAAGAAAGGAACATTGTATTTCTAGAAGCAAACAATGGTGTGTTGCATCAGTGTCTCTCATAAATATTATAATCACTCTTGAATGGAAACATGTTTATTTCAATAACCACCATTTATTGGGTACCTACTACATACCAGGTTTTTTACCTGCATGCTTTCTTATCTGCAAAATAATTCTGCAGTGCAAATCCCACTGTCATAATTTGACTTTCTTAGAAGCGAGCCCTAAGATAAGGTTCAAATGCAAGTAGTTAATTTGGCAGGTGATCCAGGAGACATTGGTGAAGGAGTGAGGAGGTGAGCGGGGAAGAGATACAGCTGATGGAGGGCATGGTATCCAGCAAGTTAACACTGTGGGCAACTGGGCTTATTTCTCTGGGGCAGCTCTGGTAACCAGAGTGGAACAGGTGCCTCAGAGTTGTCCCAACCAAGATGTGAGGGAGCTGGGGTGTTTGATACACTGTTCCCATTGCTTACTGGTTGAGGACTGCACTCTGGAGCATGTGAATTCTCCAGTGCTGCTGATCTAGCATGGATGCACAGAGCGGGCACCCGCAGACAGAGAAATCCTTGAGCAAAATAGTGCAGATGCTGGCAGGTGGGAGATTTGAGGGAGTATGATCAGGGCACCTGCAGTATTTGCTACAGTTAATTACTATCCACATTTTAAGGACCAGGAAACTGAGGCTGAAAGAAGTGAACTGACTTCCCCTGAATCTCTGGTATGTAAAATGTTGAATCTGCTGTTAGAATGCAAATTGTTTTGACTCCAAAACCTGTAATTTTCATACTCCTTGCCTCAATGGGCTGGGGAGGAACTAGGGAGTCTGTGGGAACTCAAACTAGTCTGAGGATGATGACTGATCTGGGGGAGTGTGCCTTTGGGGATGCTAGGGTGCTGGGAACAGTGTAGTTGTTCTGTTCTGTATTACTGGGTGTCTACCTGTGTCCTCTGAAAAGAGACATGTGGAAGTCCCAACTCCAACTAACTCAGAATGTGACCTCATTTGGAAGAAGGAACATTGCAGATGTAATTAATTAAGATGACGTTCTGGAGTAGGGTGGGTCTCTAATCCAGTATGACTGGTGTCCTTATGAGATGGTCATGTGAGGACACACACACAGGCAGATAGCATGGGATGACGAAGGCAGAATTTTGAAGTGATGCAGCTGTAAGCCAAGGAATGCCAAAGGCTGATGGCAAATCACCAGAAGCTGAGAGGAGGAAGGAAGGATTCCCCTAAGGTTTTAGAAGGAGCATGGCCTGGCTGACCTTCATTTTAAACTTCTAGCCTCCAGACCACTGAGACAATAAAGGCTTGTTGTTTCAAGCCACCTAGTTTGTGCTATTTTGTTAAGACAGCCCTAGGAAACTCATACACACCTGCTGTTGTGGTTTTTTTTCTTTTCTTTAATAAAACTTTTACTGACACTAGTGATTGTACAAGAGGGGCATTTGGCACCAGCTTGCAGAATTGTTTGCATTGCAAGTTCCAGCTTGCATGCCTTGCTTTTGGGATGATGTGGGTATCTTGGGCAATCAGTGCCTCTGATGCAGAGAATATGAAACAACCAGGTTTGGATAAAAAGAATTTCCTCCTTTAGTACTTAGTAGGCTCTGCTTTGATTGATGTATCTAGCACTGCTTCCAGCTAAGGCAAAATCGATCCTATTTCGTAGGCAGGGAAACGGGAAAATAGAACCATTAAGGAATCCAGCACGTGGCTCCAGGACTGTGTTCATCTCTGCCATCTGACGTAGGCCTCTTGCAAGGCTTTTCCTCTCAGATCCCTGAGGATCCTGTCAGCAACTTTGCCTCTCAGCTGCCCTGCCAGGTTCTGAGCAACTGGCCTGGGACAAAGTAAGATGCTGAAAGAAGACTCATCTGTACAAATGATAGTCCTCAGACTTAGAGGGAGAACGGAGCATGCTCCCCAGCAAGGGAAGGTAAGGAACTGGTAGCCGAGTATGTTAAGAGCACCTAGAGTTAGTGGATGCGACGTCCTGTGTTCTGGTGGGGAACCATAGCCCCAGCCAGGAGGTGTGCGCATAGCCCACTTCCTGCTCCTGTTATCCTGAGACAAAAATCACTTCACTGAGGCTTCTGTTCACATCACCTTGTACAACTGATGTGGAAAACAACTTCAAGCTCTGCTGAGTCTGGTTTCAGAGTATTGGGGGTTGCTAGAGGCCCTGGGTACCATTACTCAAGCATCTGTTAATGGTATGCAGAGCTTTGCTTACCGCTACTTTGCATCCACCTTGACTACTGTGAGGCCACACAGTATAATGGGAAGAGGGCAGGTATTGGAGACAGGGAGGTCTGGGTTTGAATTTAAGAACCCTTACGATTTATTTGCTGTTTCCTTGCATATCTGTAACTATAATGTGGGCATATGAATACCCATGTCACAGAGCTGAGGGATTAAATGAGGGTAAGAAAGGAATCTATGTTACAGGGCTCTTAAGAGGGTCGAGTATGTAAACCATGACAATGTGCCCTTGAGCTCTCAATGCCTGAGCACTTTTTATTGTTGTTACAGTTATCACTATTATAAGAGGTAATTAAGTGATATATCTGTGGATCACTATATCTGCACTGCCAATGTGCATTGAGTCCAATAGAAGAGGAAGTAACTGGTCTGTCTGAATATCTATCTATCTATATCAATCAGTCAGTCATCGGTCTATCTTACAACAGTGTCCAAGTAAGTTCCTCTTTCCTTGGGTGTTTATGAAGGCAAAAGAAGAGCTGTGGTGGCAGACAGAATTCACCCATCAGAGTGACAATAGATAATGCACAGGCATCAACACAGGATGGTCTAGAGGTAACCCCCACTTCCACCTCACTATGACGGTAATGACTCCGAGTTGGCTGTGCCTTTAGTATTGCCTGTCCCATTTATGATCTAGATCCGTGTTTTTCCGACTTCAATGGGCTTACCAGTCACTTGGGAACCTCATAAAATGTCAGCTTAAAGAAGGGCCTGGCGTAGAGCCTGAGGTTCTCCGTTTCTAAAAAGCTCCCAGGTGATGCCAGTGCCACCTGTCCAGCACACTTTGAGGAGCAAGGCAACGGATGCTCTTTCTATTGTCCTTATCTTGTTCTCTTGCATCTGCAGATCTAATTCTGTGTAGATCCCCTTGCCCTTGGTCAGTTCACATTAGACTGACTACTCTCTTTGCTCATTCCTTTCAACATTCACTGAGTTATTACTGTGTGTCAGGGACTGTGTTAAGCACTGTATATCACAGGTGATATCCTGGGTTATTAGATCATTAGCATAGATGTCAATGTCATTGATATAAATTCCAGCATTCTTCATAGAAACGTACCCCTCTGGTCATGAGGTCTACATTTGGTATTCCCCTGCATCTTTTCACCTATCAGAGCAGTGGATTGGGTCAGGAACAAGTGGTAGGGGAAGAAATTATTCTTTCCAAATACAAGCCAGATGGTCCCAGTTCCTAGCATCTGCATGGCTTGACTTTTTTTTTTTTTTGGTTCCCTACCCATTTTGACACAGCATTCTACTCTTTTGTCAGATTCTACTTGAAATAGAATCATGGAGCCATATTGAATTTTACACAGCAGATAACTCAGGTAAAGTCTCAAAGATTCATCTGTTCTCTCAAATCTTTCCACATTTATTGTCAAAGAGGTTTCTTCCAGCCCACCTTTCCACCATCTCACTGGCTCCTTTCTTCCCTTTCCCATATGTTCTCTCTCCCTCATATTCTCATCTCTTATGCTAACCAGTTTGATTCTGTCCTAGCTCTCTAATATTTGGGTACCAATTTTGGCAACTAATGGGTCTTCCATTTGTTAAAGCCCACCCTCCATAGATAGTTGTAGGGTGTTCAAAATAATATTTATTTCTTATAAAACACAAAATCTCAGAAATGACCAATGAAAGAGTTTATTACATCTTGTGTCCTATAGAGAGAATTGTCCTAAAGGAAATGATGTAAATTGTAATGAAAAATAACACATCACTAGTGCCTCATGCCACCCTCATGCTGTAGATGGCTGAGCCCATCTTGCAGTTGCATCTATTTGTTTGTATTTTCAGTTTCAGTGGAGAAACAGAAGCTGCTTGGCAGATTCTCAATACTGGTTTCACAGTTTTTAATCCTAATGAGTGAAATTGCTTAAGTTCAATCTATATAGTAAAGATTTCTTGTATTTCTATTTCTCCAGTGATTTCTGTTTATTTGCTATTGCACTGTTCTGTGAAAATGCTAGAGGCAGAATATTCTTTCAGGAAAACTTGTTTTGTAAAACTCTTATTACAAAATGCCTCCTTCTCTGCACTGTTGTGATGGGAGGGTTTTTATTGCTCTCTCTGGCTTTCAGTGGATGAAAGAGTTTCTGGGCTGTGTGTTGGCTAAAATAATTTTTTTGCTCACATTTCTTAAAAATCATTTATTCTATGATTGCTTCATGGGTCCCACTATCAAGTGTGTTTTCTCTGGCTACTCTCCCGACTCGTGTCTGCCTATAGCAGCTGGTCTTAAACACTGTGTACTTGCTTTACAGTCTGTTTTGTGCTTAGCTGATTCAAGACCCCTCACATGTGGACCACATAAGTCAAGGAGGGAAATCATTGTTACATTCTACATTTTTACTGAGGAATGTGTCTTTTCTTCTTTGACCCAAACTCTGACTTAGTGGTGTGTGACCTTGTTTACTCTTAGTAAAACAGAGCTTCCATTTTGGAAGTGATATGGCTTAACAAGTCTCATAAAAAGAATTGGAAAGATCTCCGAACATCAAAGAGCTCTTATGTGCCACCATTTTGTAGGATGCAAAAGAATCTGGAACATATGGATTAAATTCCTCTTAACATATACACATTCCCCTTTAAAAACTGCTTGAGACAGGTCTCATTTTGGATTTCCTCAGTCTCTCTATTGTCTTCCCTCTGGCTAGAGTCCTGTCCCACTTTGGGGACTCTGGCCAAATGTAATAACTTGATGAGCCTACAATTATCCATCCTAAAGAGGTTTCAGAGACCCATTGTAAAATTTTCAGTCACTTTCAGCCTTTTTAATGGATGTTTCTAATAGTCCAAGTATGGGCTCGA